TGTCGGTACGAAGAGTTCACTGATTTCTCGAGTGATCTCTTTCGACAAAATTCTCTGCATTTTATCATAAATAACACAATTCATGAATTGGACGCCAAATACGTTGAGTGGTATTTGCACTCACGTTTACAATCAGCAAATCAACCACTTTCTGAACGCATTCATCAATGGATTCCTCATCAGTCTTGAGCACCAGATCGGGCTCTAATGGCGGCTCATAATCGGATCCGAGACCAGTGAAGCTGGAGATCTGTCCGGCGCGAGCCTTCTTGTAGAGTCCCTTCACATCCCTGCGCTCGCATACATCGAAAGGCGTGTCCACAAAGATCTCGAAAAACGGCAAATTATCCGCATTGTGTAGACTGCGCACAGCATCCCTGTCCTGTCGGAAGGGACTGATAAAACTAGTCAACACGATAGCGCCGGCATCTGCGAAAAGTCGGGACACCTCTGCGATGCGTCGGATGTTCTCAGTCCTGTCCTCAGCACTGAATCCCAGGTTATTGTTGAGTCCGTGCCGTATATTATCGCCGTCTAAGGCATACGTCAATATCTTGTGTTTGCAGAGAATCGCCTCAATCTTGAAGGCAATCGACGTCTTCCCGGCCCCCGACAAGCCTGTCCTCAGCATAAATGTGTCACAAGTACTGTAGTATTTGGAGGTTTTTATTGGTGTTACCTGTCAGCCAAACAGTACAGCCCCTAAAACTACGACCATTTCCCAATATTTCGGCCCTTTTATTACGGGTTACTCTCTGTTTGAACGCGTAATATGCATACCNTTGAGTTGTATTTAATATTTAGACTTTAGTTCTGCATTCAATCAAATTGTGAGACATTTTTATTTATTTTTGATGAAAAGTATTTGCTTTCACATACAATCAGCTCTCATATTGAACACAGAATTTATTGTCTGAGGAATTGATTAATGATTTTTCGGCTCTTTTATAAGATTTTTACTGATAAAATGGTTGTCAATAAATTGCACTCACTTTTTATTATTCAATTTTACTGTTATATGAATATGAATATAAATTTTAATATATTTTTACAAATTAATATTAATGTTTGATGACTTTTGTAAAAATAAGAATCTTGACATTTTAAAAATATTAAATTAAAAGTAATGTTGTAAAATCATTTACAAAAATAAATTTAAAGTTATTTATATGCATTTAAATGTGACAAATTGTGGCGTTTATATAAAACCTTTTATGCAAGTTTGCAATTAATTAAATAATAAAAATAAAATTGTTTTGTTGAGAATGTAAATTTATATCAATTTGTAACATAATCATTTTATTCAATGTATTTATTTTATTATATAAATAAATTTTAATACAAGTTTAAAATTAAATGTTTAAAATCTTAATTTGATCTTTTAAAATAATTTCTTAATTACACAAAAAATAGTTGAGTAACAAAAATATAATGCAAATATATTTACGGAGTCTTAGATTATGACGACTTTCCCTTCAAAGCAAAACTTATTGTTTTTTATTTAAGAGCTAACGTCACACACAAGTGTATGGGAAGGGAAGGGTATGTCATCAGAGAAAGTTGTGTCACAAATCACGCGAAGGACTTCTATCTGAAGTAACGGTTTATAAATAATATAGTCTGACATTAGGCTCAGGGAATAGGGAAAGGGGTCAATATCTTTAGTTTTTAAAAATAATTTTAATGAAATTAATTTTGGATTATCTGTTATATTAATGTCAATCGACATTAACCTTCATTAGGATTTAAATAATACTTATAATCTATAACTTCTTGGCTATTATGTGGTCACAATCTTATTATTAAATAACAATTGATTTATTTGCAATTATCTTTTTGTTAAAAACACATTTATGTTTAATTAAATATTGTCATTCACGTGGATTATTTTAAAATGTCATTTCAATGAGATTCAGTGTCGAATCGGTTTTTATTTTCTAAATTATTTTAGTTTTTAAGTAAAATCGTCAGCTTTTTGCTACATTTATGCCAAAACTTCCGCAATTAGAAAATCTAAACTATATATAAATTAAATTGAAAGTTATTTTTAAAAATCTGTAATCTAATATAATTAATAAATTATAGTTATAGCGCTAATTATACCTAAAACATTGAAAATCTCGACACAATTAGTTGGGATCAATGAACCAAAAAATTAGTCACAATTTAGTTATAATACAGTACATTATTGTTACGATAATATAAATGTGTAGATTAATGTGCTAATACAAAAATTTTAATTATAAAATAGATTTATTGTGAACAATTTGACATTCTTTATGTTGGAAAATTTTATTATAAATATGTTAATAAAATTGCCTAGATAAAGCTATTTGTCATAAGATTATATAGCATTGAAGCGTAAACAAAACTTTATACTGTATTGTATTTCAAACTATACCTCTATTATAGCAGCAAGTTGACTTTAGTTATAATTAAAAAACAAGACAAAATCTAAATTTTAAAATATCACAGTATAAATAAATAAAAATTATGAATTGCAAAACTACCTAGATCCATTATTTCTGTAAAGCAAACTCACGAATGTCCGTCACAAAACCAATTACTAAATCCTTGAACAAATAACAATTTTATCTTTTTATATAATAATGACTTTTAAATATTATTAGTGACTCTTTTTAATAAAAATTTGTTGTTTTAAAATTATTATTTCTTACATTTAGACTTTTATATAAAACTTAAATCAATTTCAAAATTACAATAAAGTTTTATAAATAGATTTTATAGACACTAATACTCGACGGCATCTGCTTTCAGGTAATTAACAAATCAAACACACACTTAGTGTTTGATATAGATTTAGATTGTAAAAAATAATTTGTGCCCCAAAAGGCTGTTATATTTGTTTTGTGTTTGATTTGTATCTATTAAATTCAATTGTTTTTCATTTATTGTGTAATTCAATGAAAAGATTGTATCGAAAAAACAATGCAAACCGATTGCAATGGAAACGAATTGAAAGTATCTGATGATGAGAATCAATTGGATGAAAATAGCGGGGTAAATATTTTAATTTACTCATAAAATTAAACATTAATAAACTAAAAGAAATTAATGTATAACTAATATACGAAGCACTGGGAGGGGTATGCATATTACGCGTTCAAACAGAGAGTAACCCGTAATAAAAGGGCCGAAATATTGGGAAATGGTCGTAGTTTTAGGGGCTGTACTGTTTGGCTGACAGGTAACACCAATAAAAACCTCCAAATACTACAGTACTTGTGACACATTTATGCTGAGGACAGGCTTGTCGGGGGCCGGGAAGACGTCGATTGCCTTCAAGATTGAGGCGATTCTCTGCAAACACAAGATATTGACGTATGCCTTAGACGGCGATAATATACGGCACGGACTCAACAATAACCTGGGATTCAGTGCTGAGGACAGGACTGAGAACATCCGACGCATCGCAGAGGTGTCCCGACTTTTCGCAGATGCCGGCGCTATCGTGTTGAC